CGCATGCATGCCCCAACTAAGCAGGATTTTCAATCTTTAAAGCAAATTCTACGTTATGTCTAAAGCACACTTCATCAAGGATTAATATTTTGGCGAAGACCACATGCATTGCAAGCCTATTCTGACTCCGATTGGGTGAATGATATGGAGCACGAAGAAACAAAGTCGAGTGCCCTGATCATCTACCAAGGTAGAGTATCAAGCTCTTTCTGTAGCAACAGTTGAAGTAATGTGGCTCTCTTATTTGTTTGATATCTTGAAGATTAAACACCCTCCTCCGCATCTTTTTTGATAATCCATCTTCCATTTGCTTGACCAAGAATGATGTCTTTCACACACGCATGAAGCATCTTAATACTGACTGCCACTTTGTACGAGAACATGTAATTGCTGAGCAGATTATTGTTTCATATGTTCCGCCCACTGAACAGCTCGCAAATCTCTTAACAAAGGCACTTCCCTCACCACGCTACACTTTTTGGTTTTCAAGCTTCCTCTCGTTTCACGGCGTTCATCTTGAGGGGGATGTTAGACAGTTATGGTAATAGTTGTATTTATGGTAGTGTTAGTATATTAGTCAACTACTATATTAGAGGAATCCTAATTCAAGTGAGGATGTTTATCTATATAAACTACCATGTACTTTTCCTATTCCTTCAGTGAAATTCATAATTCAACAACTTGTATCACATTGATTTAGAAGTTAAAAAACATCTTATTTATTGGTTAGAAGTTTTATCCCTCATTCAATCTCATCTCACTCTCTTTTTCATTATATCTTCATATTTCTCATTGTACTCTAAAAAAATGTTCTTTGACCAACGAATGATGAGCTCGTTGATATGCTAGTTATGGCAACAATAGTTAATTCTAGCCTTAAATTTTGGTCTATTTTTTTACTTTAAACTTATTTTTTTTATTTTTTAAAATTTTTTAGTACATTTTTTAATTAAAGAGTGTTGTTGTTGGCATTTTTATTTTTTATCTATGTGTTTTATTTTTATTTATATAAATTTTGAATTTAAATGGAGGAATAATGTAATAGAAACATAGAGACGGGATGAGAGGGCGATAACATTTTAGGTTTTTCGCGACAGAGCTAAAAAAGAGAGAAATGATAATGTGACAAAGAATGGAACGAGGTGAGAGGACGCCGCACTGCAAAATGCTCCTATAAGACAAGTGGGAAGAATTGACAGAAATGATATTGATCAAATATTGCTTACTCGTAGGGGTGGGCTAAAAAACTAAACAAGCATGGTACCATGCCGCACTGTAATGGTACCGAACCATATATATTGTTTTTAAACGAATTTTTTTTTAACCCGGGTTAAAACCAAACTGATATCAAATGAGACGGGACCGTGATACAAATATTTAAAAATGATTATCACGGACCGAACTATTTAAAGCTATTTGTGGAAAATCTAAAATACTTATTTGTTTATTTTTATCTGACCATATATATATATATATATATATATATATATATATATATCTGTGTGTGTGTGGAGTACATCGTATTGTATTGTTTTTTTATTATTCTTTCATTATTATTACTACTATGAGCATTAAATTTTTGGAGTTATTAATTGTCCAATATTGTATGAATTGAAGAAAAAAAATCTATTTTTAAAATTTGGAGTCGTCATTTTTTATTTTTTATGTTTGTGATTCTTTAAAATTTGGCACGGTTTGAGCATGTGTATGATATTATATCGTTCCGTTTCAAAACTGAATGCTACCAAATAGGTTTAAGGTTCATCTTGTACTGATACCGAACCGTTTAAATAAGAGCAGTCCATGATAGGTACCAATAGTATTACGGAACGTCACAGACCGCGTCCACCCTACTTACACGCAAAAAAATACTCCCTCTACCTTGAATTTATTGTCTCAATTTGATTTCGTAAAATTTATCAAAAATTTTGAAAAATAAAAAGTGAATGGTTAAAATTTGTTTAGAAGAAAGAGAAAATTTATAGGCCACACATTTTTTTATTAGGAAAGTAAAAGAAGCGAGACAATTTTTTGGAATTGACCGGAAAATAACTGAAACAATTGATTTGAAATGGAGGGATTAATCTCCGACTAAAAATTATCTTCCCAATTTACCCCACCTCAATATGTTTAATTAGACACATGGAATATTATTAAAATGTTTATTCTCCAATAGAGGGTAATACTTTTGAAAAATGAAACTTCCTAAACGAAGAATCTAATGCTTACTCACTAATCACTCCATCCTTTATAGAGTAGTACTTTTGAAAATTTTGTCAAAAGTGAGAATAATGGGCGGGTACTTTTGAAAATTTTGTCAAAAGTGAGAATAATGGGCGGTGTTATACCACAAGTGGGGAGAGGGGAGAATGGTCGGAGATCTATATTTGATCAAATACGGAGTATTGTCTCCGAGTATTCTCACCCGAATATTTGTCGACTTAGATTGATAAATTTTGATACTAAGTTAAACAAAAATAATATTAGATATTGATATAAAACTAATTTTATTCGATTTATTATATTAAATATTTTTGGAATATTATTTTATCTAATTAATATAAAATGTATATTCCGCATTTTATTTAATTATAGGTCAAAGGATAAAAATGATTAACTTAAAAAAGTCAAAACTGGATAAATACTCCAAAACAGAGGTAGTAATTGCTTAGGTTGCATTAGGTTCGCTTGATTTGACTTGATATGATCTAATTGTTTGAAGATCTGGTCTGATTATATTTGATTTGATCAAATCTGGTCATATCTGATCTGATTACAGTTATAATTAAAGTTATTTCTGATCTGATCTGATAATAATAAGAATAAGCAATAAACAAAATATATAAGTTGAATATTAAAGTGTATTTTCCGTCTAAAAATTAATTTTCCTATTTGCTTTGACTTAACTTATTTAGAGTTTATTTTTTAGGGTTAGAAAAAAGAGCTGAATATTGAAGAAATTAGAAAAATTATAAAATTAGAAGAATTTGGAAAAAATTGGAAAATACTAGAAAAAACTTCAAAAATTCATTTAAGTGTATTTTACATGGTATTCTTATAATAATAATAGTTATTATTGTTGTTGTTCTTATTACTATTATTATTGTTGTTGTTATTATTATTATTATTATTATTATTATTATTATTATTATTATTATTATTATTTCCTAAGCCAAATTAGATTAATAAAATACCTGTAATTTTTAGAAGACAATTTAGTGTCATGTAAATTGAAAAAAAAAAACAATTTTCCCAACAAAATTGTATTCCTTATTGTTTATATTGAAAATGGAAGAAAAAATAATAATGAGTGTAAATCACAAAACAATGACATGGGAAAAATAAAATACAAAATACAAATAGCTTATAAAGTATAGTTGTAATAGTAATTATAATAGTAGTAATAGTAATAATAATATAATTAT